CACAGAATGATTGCATGGGTATGCATTCAAAAAATTCAGTCTCATTCGCTCAAAGCTCCTTCCTTGACATACGCGTCATTGTTGGGCCCATTCTGCGAGAATTAGTGTGACAGGTTGTGAATAGTTGCCGGAGTTGTATGTACATGCTTCTGGGCCTGACTTTTGTGCATACCGTCGTACACTTTGGGGTTTTTAATAAGTACCACCATTTTGTGCCGTGCTTGCCGCGCTCAATCCCGTGATGAAAACGTCCCCAGACAATAATGTCAATACATGTTTTTTTTCCTCCTCTTTTCTCTGCGCGATATAATTTGCCACCCGCACAGCGCCGGGCTCGGAGCAGGAAGGTGACATCAACCTAAAGCTCTTGGCAAAATCCACCGTGGTGAGGCAGGCAATTATCATTAAGCAAGAAACTGTGTTGAGATTGTCATGCTGCTGTCATTTACCTCATCACCTGGCTGGAAGTAGCGCGTTGCCATCATGTGTCCCTCTACCTTTTGCTGAAGAGGCTGTTTGTCATCACGGGTTGTAATTATACATGAAGGCTCGACACATTTAAATGGATTTGCCGTGGAGCTGATAGCTTAAATGTTTGATGAGATCTCTTCATTGATGTGTGACTGGCTTTGCGTTTGAGCCTTCGAGAGGCTTAGAGGCACCTCTCACCGCTGATTGTGTTTGCTTCAATCATTGCTGATAAGATGGACTTGCGGGGACAACATCACACTTTCTATTGAGGCTCGCAAACATGCCGTTTGCCAAAAGTTGCCAATGGGAATCAGGTTGCCAAGACACCAGCAACCCAGATGTTTTGTTTCACTCATTAAGAAAAAAATGAACACCAATTATGTAACGTGAGGCTTTAAAATCCTGAAAAATCAAGCCCTTCTCTCCGCTCTCAAATGCTGTAGGAATATCCGCTGAAAACACTCCACTGTTAACTCACATAAATAAATCAATCTAGTAATCAATCAACCTTTTGCTCCACTTAAAAACTCCAGTTGCCAAATAGGCATACCCGAATGAACAAATAAAACTAAGGATGTAAGGCCATTTTTGTTTCGCAAGCCTGTATCAACATTTCAGACATTTTCTCCAACCATTTTCTTTTCTAGACTGTTGTGACAAGAATGTGAAGAGGACATTCGCAAATCAGGACGCAACCTGTCACAAAAAAATTGACCACCGCATTGTAATTACCTCTTAGGCTAATTATAAACTAGCATAAATTCATGGGATTCTTCTGCCGCTACTACTTCTAGTACTACTGCTTCTACTCGTACCAACTCCTTTTCGTTTAGATTATATGACCGTCTGAAAGCTAAAGGAGCTGGATTACCCTCCTCATCAATATATATATATTTTTTCATGTATGTGGTGCATGCCAAACACAAATGCCTCGGTGTCCGCCTCCTCGCCGATCAATCCTGCGCTCTCAACATTCCGTGGAAATTTCACTCGCTCAATCGTGAAACCTTTGGCTGGCGCGATAAGGAAAGATGAGAGTTTGGCGCAAAGCAATATCATTGCCGGCGGTCGCATTGATGAACACTGCTGAATGTGGAGGCAATTAATTACCGTTTGCGTCACCGCGCTGGGGAAAAAAAAGTGTTTCATTATTTTTTTTTTTTGTTGTTGTTGCGCTCTGTTGCACTCGGGGAGCGTCGTGGAGTGTGCGCATTCTGACAAAACGGATGCTGGCAGGGAACCAGCTAAAAGTGTGCTTTCGCTGCCTAATGGCCATTGTACTGGCAGACCAGATGGTCTTCGCCGTGCGCCGAGTTGAACCGTGAGATGTACCGCATCAGAAGTGACTCAGCAGCACTCTTACTCATCTGTCCGATGAATGATCAAAGCATTGTCGTGGAACATCAGAGCAACGTTATCGAATATTAATGTTGCCTCGAGTAGGTTTGGACGTAAGCGTCTATTTGGTCGGATTTTACGCAGCAGTCGAAATACCCCCCGAGATACATGACAGCTATTACGGTTGTTGTGGTGGTCGGTGTGATACCGTTTGCCCATTTAGGCTTGAAAAGGAATTGAGGATTTTACGTCAACACTATCTTCTCTCCCAAAGAACATCAAACCCCCAAGTTGCCCCCAAATGTAACCTTAAAAGATACATGACATGCATTTGTTTAAGATTGCAACAGTCCTCATCTGTTTTGAATAGCGTCGCTTTGAAATGTTTGTCTTTTTGAATTACCCCAATGATCAAAAATGATAACCTCCTTTGGATTCTGGCGGAAGTCCGATAAGGGTTTCTTCCAACTACAGTTTGACCCCGAAACTAAAGAGATGGCTTGACATCATTTCAGGAGGGAAAATGAAAAGAACTTTTGTGCTGATCATGATTGACTTTGGGAGGTTAAATACCAGGTAGAGTACACAACATTCGAAATGTCGTCTTTGATAGATATGTTAATCCGTGTCGGGTTGCTCGGCGTTTGTATTTTAACTGTAAATCCTCTCCTTTCTCCCGCACCGTTCACAAATGAATGATGCCTGCCCATGCAAAATAAAACTGCAATGAAAAGAAGCAAAAGTGCCCTCAGTGTCTGACTGTGTGCCCCCCCCCCCCATCTTTACAATACAATCGGAACCTACGAGGTGGTAAGTTCACCACCTGAAACTACAAAGCTGCAACACATTCGCACTCCTTGAGATCCGTTCCGCAACCCCACCTCCACCAGTTCAAGCGCTGCGGGGAGCCCTTCGCAGACTGTACTTCAAAAGACCACCACATGCGCCACATTCTTACAAAAAATACTGCGGAAAAAGGGAGAAATGCTTTCGGTGAAAGAATTCACATTCATCCACAAAGCACTTTCCCTGTCGGTCAAACAATGAGCAAGGGAGTGTTTGCACGGGTTTTGCCAATGTATATTTGTGGCATGTGCAGCACAAGGCCATGAGTTTCCCAGTGGACTGAGTCGCTCTCATATTTATCATGAGCTGTCTGACTCGGCCGATGGAGGCATATATTTAAGGGTGTCTCCCACCACAGTAAGCAGATGATCTCTTGTCACAACCATTATATATATATATATATATGGATATGTGTGTGTGTGTGTGTGTGTGTGTGTGTGTGTGTGTGTGTGTGTGTTATGCAGCAATTAGAACCTAGCTCCTCTGTTGTGAAAAGTGTGTCATTCATGGCGTCTACTAATGAGTAGGCTAGGTTCAGAAGTAAGTACATTTGGCATGATAGCAAAGAAAGGCAAGGCGGGGGCGGGTTTATTTATGTAGCACATTTCACACGCAAGACAACTCAACGTGCTTCACACAAGCAGAGGCACCAGCGACCAGCATTTACAAAACAACAGTTAATGACATTCAGAAGCAAAGCAGGAGGGGGGGTGGGGGGGATGCTGAAGAGAACACACATTGGCAACATTTAAACACATTTGCAGGAAACGTTTAAATCATTTATAGAGAAGGTAAAGAAATTAGAAAAAGTGGCTAAAACAACGAAAAAGGGAAAAATGAATTCGAATTGGTTGCGAAGAGCTTTTTCACCTTGATTAAAAAGCACTCACTACGGGATGTTGGTACAACTGGGCTATGTCTGTGTTTCGATCCGTTTTGCTGGGTTTGGTTAACTTGTCAACATGAGATGGCAAAAAACATCATGTCTCCACGCCTGAGTGTCATCTGCTGATCTGAGGGATTGGGAGAGTGGAAATCAGTCCTTGGGGTGAAGTTGGGTTGGAGAAGGCTTAGGAGATGATAAAGAGGAGTTTGTGGCGGATACTCTCGAGTGGTGAGAGCTCATGGGGGTTTTCTTTAGGGCAGGTTTTATTTGGTCAAGGGTACATCGAAGTACACGTCAGACTGCAAGCTGTAGAGCTCCACATATATTTTATTTTATTACATTTTTTTGGAGGGTTTTGGATGAAGAGCCATTGAAAAAGCTATCACAGGTAGGCGGTGGGTGGTCGGCGATGAATGCATTACTGAGGGTTTCGGCAAGAGGAAAGGAGAGGGCCTCTTATCGCGGTCTATGCCAACACGAAAAAAAAACCTAACCACATTATGGAGTATGTTTCTAATATCTTGAGTGACAACATCAGTTGTTTATGTAATAATCCACCCATAATCCCATTTATATGTTACAGGAGGCGTATCATCACCGTCCGGTGAGAAGCGAACATCAAGCTGAAGACATGCATGATACTGTACCACGGCTCCTCTCATCTTTTTTGCACGTATTGCTGAAGAGATGAGCCAGTCGCTGTCTCTTTTTATTCTCTCGGCTCTTTGGGCTCACTACAGCTTGGTAGGGGACCTTCTCGGGCTTTTCTTCGCATCCTCTTATTTGACTGAATCTCTTCCAGTAGAGCTCAGCGCTACCTGGCATGCTGTGGCGCAACATGGCACGCGCCTCTGAGTTCCGACTATCTTGAATACTGCAAAAAGTGTCGAAAAAGCGATTGCCTCAAAATCTTCAATATAGGGTTTTGAAGATGAACCTGAATACTGCAGTGATTCGCTGCATACATTTGAAAAATGTTGGCCTAGTTCTGAATTGTCCTAACCTCAGGGACCTATTCCTACTGGTATGTACCTCCAAAAGAACAGCACGAATATGGCTTTCAAGACAGGGAAAAGGTGATTTAACCGGATGAATGCACCCAGATTGTACTCTGAATACATTTCCACAAATCCAAGGAGTGGCACGAGGAGTGCATAATGCAAAAGGACTGCATGTTCTCAGTCTTCCCATGAGACTAATAATATTCCAGCGGGATCCTTTCTATACTAATGACTTATGACTTGCTGCACTTGCCCTGCCGCCCCCCCCGCCCCCCCTATTTTATGCTACACTTTCCTGAGCTGAAGTACCCTGCAATCTTAGCCACGCCCACGTTACATTAAAAAAAAAAGAAACACTTAAAAGCACATCGACCAAATTTGGAACAGGTGAGATGCGGCGGTCAGTGTCAATCTGCAAAGCAGTTTTGTTGAGAATGGTTACATTTGCGTCACGTATATTTTTTGAATAGCGCGTGGATGGAGCGCTGAGGAAACGCTCGGTTTAAAAAAAAAAAAAAGTGCGAACGCCACACTGTGATTCACCAGCAGACTGACTGACGTCTCTCCGGTGTTGCACAGCAAGTCCCGCAGCTCTCCGCTTGCTTATTTTGCACACTGGAGTCGAGCCGAGCAGTCGACAGACGCCGCAGCAACACACACGGAAAAGAAAGAAGGACGGGGAGAAGTTGAGCAACGGCGGGCGCTAGTTTGCGGCATGTTCAACCTGCGGCAGCCTCCGTTTCAAAACACCGACCCAGCAACTGTTTGATTGCTTCCCCCCACCCCTCGCTGGCTTTATTCCCTGCGCCTTTTCTTGCCCTCTACAGCTCATGTAAAGAAAGCTCTCGGCAGCGCAATGATGTGGACCTCTCATGATACCGCTGGATTTATTTTCTTGGCTGGGTTTTGTGTGCATTTCGGATTCTCCTTTGAAGGTAAGACTTTCAAAGGCTGCAAGGTCTGAGAAACTGTTGAAGAAAAAAGTGCGCAGTGGGTTTTTTTTGCGTTTCTTTGGAGGAAAGCGGGAAATCTTAGTGGCGAGATGTGTTATAAAAACGTCCCGGACAGCGTCGTCAACCCCCCCCCCCACCCCCCAAACAAAAAAATGCAACTGGTGACTGCTTGATATGTATTCACGCGTCGAGCCCAAAACCTCTTTTTTTTTAGTCCGAAGGAAAATTGTCTGTCTATAAAACAAATCCGCCTCATGCAAAATGTTCGTCGCCACGTAATGTCACTGTCCGAGGTGCTGAAAAGCATCTGCCCTTCACACTGCATTGGATTCCACTTTCTCACTGCTTCTTGACGGCATTAAATACAACGACCTTTTTGACGCCCCCGGCAAAAAAATAAAACAAAAAACAAACAAACAAAAAAAAACCCAGATACGTTGTCTTTCTTTATTCAAAATTTCTTTCGGGCTTCCTCCAAAAGTCACGTCTCTCTCTTGCTCTCTGCGCAATACTTGCAATGACGTGCAAAAATAGTGAACAGCTTGTAATTTACGGTGTGGCGTTATTGAGCAATGGAGCTGTTTTGTTGAGAAGACGGGAGGGGCAGAGACCTAAAAAAAAAAAAAAAAAAAAAAACTGTCTCGGGAGTTAATTCCTGCTTATTTTTATGCATGCAGACATCACCAACTTACCTCGACAACGCTTTCTCTCATTCCCCTGCTCTCCATCTTCCCCTGACTCATTATCTCTGCAACTCCCGCCCCCACGCATCTCCCTTCCATCTTCTGCAGGTCGCTTCACTGATCTACCCTCTAACATGACTGTGAAAGAGGGACAAAACATAGAGATGGCGTGCGCGTTCCAGAGCGGAACCACGTCAGTTTATTTGGAGATCCAGTGGTGGTTCGTGAAAGCGCCGGAACCCACTGAGGCCGTGGACGATGTGGATACCGAAGAGGTAAAAAAAAAAAAGCAGAATCACATGTAAATCAATATCCTCACATTGGTATTCAACAGTATGAATATTTAAGATGAAGCTTCAGCAGATTTTGCTTTTGTCAAACCAACCAAGGAAAATAGAGGGAACTCGTATTTCACGACTAATCTGAGGATTAAAGAAAAAAATAAAAAACAAAAAAACATTTTGCTCATTTAGGATATTAATGACACGATAATGCCTTCATTACATCTCGGCTGGATGAATGTAATGCACTGCATTTGGGAGTCAGACAGTGCTCCCACAAGCGTCTCCAGTTGGTCCAAAATGCTGCTGCTCGCCTCCTAACTGGAGCTCGTAAGAGGGAGCACATTGCCCTAATCCTGGTTTACCTTCACTGGCTCCCAGAACATGTTAGACTTCATTTTAAGATGCAACTGTGGTTTTCTGGCGTCTGCTATTTGTGTGTTGGTGTCATTAATTTACTGTTTTCACTTTCTTTTGTTGTTGTATTGTTATTTTATGTCATATGTGAAGTGTTTTTTTGCAGCTGCAGATGCGGCGAAATGCTATATAAATAAAGCGCTATTGTCGAGCGAGCCGAGCAATTCATGCAAATGCCTCCTGTGTCCAAAAAGCACATTCTGACGCTTGCCTCATGAAATAGTGCCTTTCAAAAAAATCATCTCGGCGTCTCATGTTTTGCTGCTGCTCACGACAGCTTGATGTTGAGCCAATGAGCTACTGCTTAGCGGATGAGAGTGTTTCAAATATGTTTACCGCATTCAAGATGGACGGCGACGGCGGCTTGCGTATTGTGTGGCAGGTAGCTGCATGTGTCAAGATTGACAAAAAGGTTGGCGTCTTGTTGTGACAAGCATCAAGCTGAGCTCTTTCAATCACCGCGACGAGAAGCGGCGATATACAGCGTGCGCGCGCGCGTGCGTGCGACACTGTTGCGGAAATCCATGAGGCTTTAATTATTGTTCTATTGTTGGACGGCTTTTATAACATCATTGGCCAGGCTTTGATGTGGATTTGATCCCATATGACTCTTGGGTGTTGGGCTTCAGAGGCCTACTGATGCAGACATTACACTCTAACCCAGCGTTCATTACTTGGAAGGCTGTTTTGTCCAGTAGGGGAAGGGAGAGAGCGGAATTTGTCAAAACTATGACGGCATAAGCTCACAGCAAATGAATGCCAAGTGATGTGCCTGAAAGGATGACATTTGGAGCAAACTGGCAGCAATTAGGCAATAAAAGAAATATTGGCTGAAAGCGGGAACATGTGGGTTGGGTGCATTTACTTTCAACATCCAAGGACATATATTTTTGTGAGCAAGTCAACACATATTGCTGAGAATTTGCTCTTAAGTTTCCACTCTGTGGAAGAACTGACTAGAGATTGTTGTTTTGAGATGTTGTTTGCCCGCACAACTGCCAAGGTGCTGAATTTTAGGATTTTTTTATATTTTGTACACAGCTTTGTTATCGGACCTCTTTGATGATGCACACTGAGTGCATATTTAACAATTCGGTTGAGATTCACAAATCCCAAATGAAATAGTAGATGGTTGAAAGTAGACTTTATTTATCAGCAGTACGACAATCACTGCACTTGCATGAGTTCAAAAGGGCACAATCTGCAGCGATAACCTCGTGGCAAGTCTTGTGGCAGTGCACTTCAAAAATGGCGTTGAGGTCCAGTGTTGTGCCAGCGGCGTGCTGCGTTGCTCTATTTTCCAACAAATATGCTCGTTTTTGCCACCATATTGGCACGCTTTTCAAGTGCCCCCCTCGCTCCCCCAATATATCTTTGTTACGTAATGACTGCTGCTCCACATCAGTCTGCCAAGTGATACAAGGCGGGATGGATCTATGCCCTGATGATTAAACCTAATTGTCAGCCAACCATGCGGATGCAGCTTTGAAAATTGAGATGTGTTTGCAGTCTTCTAGCGAGCTTAGAAAACACACGAGTCATGCGGAGCCCTGGGCGACTGTGATGTCATTTTTAGTCGACAACAAGTGGCAAAATGGCCGCTCCCCCCTTGAGATGGATAAAAACAGGTGGATTTCGCTGCTTAATTCATATGAGTCCAAATGTTTGGACTCGTGGGGCGGCATAGAATATATTATGGGAAAGACAATTTTTGAATTAAGTGGTGAATAACATTTCCTTGACTGTATTGACAATACTTTGGTGTCAATACTGTGTCAGCAAAAAGTAAAAAAAAGGTATGCTATGGACAAAAAAAAGTCACACATACAGCCAAGCTAGTAACTAATAGTTTTTTTTTTTTTTTTTTTTGTGACACGATGTGTGCACCATTAAATTGTAAAAGAGACCGTGAAGGTCTATTTCAAGTCACGTTGAACGTGTCAAATACCGAAATTGACTTTTACAAACTGATGACGATGATCAATATTCACGATGAGCGCTACATACTAAAGTGCTTGCACTGTCTAACATTACTATGTTACATGTATAATTCAGTCAATGTCACAATGCCAGCGATGCCCCGCAGCATCCGATATGCAGCTTCTATTCATTCAACATCAAGTACATCGTAGCCTACAGCTGTGACATAAAATGTAAATAAGCGTTGTTCTAGAAGAGCCGCACTATATAGTCAAGTGTTCTAAAAGCCAAAAAAAACCCCACTAGTCTGTAGACTTTTTACTTGGCACTGGGTTTATTTCTGTCACTTAACTCAACCTTACCGAATGTACAGTATAAGGGCCTGTGTGGGGCCGATAACACATCAGAAGAGCAGTTTCTAACCTAGGGGGGCTGTGGCAGAGAAGGGGGCAGCTGATAAATGTTTTTTTTTTTTTTTTTTTTTTTTAATCCTTGAAAAATCCTCACTAAATATGAACAAATTGTTCTCGGTTGCACACAGAGCTTACTTCTGGAACCGCGACTCAAGTGACTCATTTACTTGAGAGATGCCCAAAAACAAACAGTCGTGGCAGAAAGCGTTTTGTCAGAGCAATTTGAATGGATGGCATACTCCATGTACATGTGTTGCATCTTCTCCAAAGCAAAAAGGCTTCTTAACTCTGAAATCGTTTTACACACGTAAAAGTGCCGACCCCCCCCCACCCCCCAAAAAGAGGACAATTCATGTGGACGGCATTGTTACAGCTCATCTTTCACAACTGCTTTTTTTTTTTTGCATTTAAAATGAGACGCTGCCAGTACATAATCACTCGCATGCAGGAAAAAAGCATCAGCCGACACCCCCCTCCCCCCTCCTCCCCCGAAAAGAAAAAGTAGTCACACTGCTGAAAGGATTTGCAACAACTATGATGATGTTGATTCAAGTCGGAGCAAAAGAAACGGAGGAAAAGGGAAAATGAGAAGCGGAAAACCAAATATGAGCGAAGCGCTTGCTGCCATGGAAAAAAAAAAAAAAAAAAAAAAACACAAACAAATTGCCGCTTCGTTACTGAGGGTATGGCAGCCGCAGCTCTAATTCAATCCGGCACTAAATCAAGGTGTTCTATAAGCCCCCCTATTTTTCCCCACCTTCACCAAAATGGCAACTTTATTGATAGAAAGGCTGAAATATATTACCCGTTCAAAACAAAACACAGTCTTGCGCGTTGCTCCGGCTCCCTCAATGAAAACGTCTCTACAAAGCGACTGTTTAATGGAGGATGCATACGAGAATACCCTTGATGATAGTAAAGTGGGTGGATGAGGCACGTCAGGAGTCATTTCATTTTAATCAATATAAACACTGGCTTGTATGTGAACAACAAATTTATTCACTGGGCTCTGGCTGCTGTTTGTTTATCACATATTAAATAATTGAGGGGCACTACTTCATACATATTGTAGGATGTAATGTTTTTTTTTCCTCCAATATTAATAATAGGAGTAGGAAGCCACTTATGGTGTAGTAGTACACACTGAACTGAACTGTCAGTAGGAGAGAAAACGGATCGATGCACTACTAGTAGGATTCCGCTGAGAGGATAGGGACCGAGCCCTGTTGAAAAATAGCAAAAATATGCGAGTAATTGACACCCATAAGGTTTGTAATTGTTACACTTGGACTCTTTTCAAAGGGGGACGAGCTACAATTTTAGCAGGTTAACTGTTTGTGAAGATACCCGCGTGCCACTTAGCATCGGGTGCTAATTCGAACCTTCGCCTAAAGGGGAACTCTGATGAATATCGCGTTCATGGAATAAAAATCGAACGGAATCATTCATCCATGTAATTATGTAAGGGGGACACCATGTTGGGTGAAATCGTTTTCAACTGCAGCAAAGGGCTCTCTTGCATGAACATTGCCATTCAAGGATGGCACAAAACTGCTGAACAGGAAACCAACAATTCATTTTGTATACTTGTTAACAAAAGTCAACTCCCTCAAATATTCATATTATTGAGGTACTTTGTCCTGCATATTGTTAAAAATTCCCCCAAAAAATAAATTCAGCCTACTCATGTCATAGTAGCGGATAGGACAATCTAAGACCTAGTGTAAGTGTAACTAAGACATTTCTGCCATCTAGCAGCGAGTGATAATATTACAACTTAAAACTACAGTCGACCCCTGTAACTCAGCACCAATGGATTTGTATATTTGCAGATTTTTTAAAATATTATATTTGTTTATATTGTTGACTTTTCACTGGTATTACCATGACCCCCCCTCCCCCCCTCAATTTCCCCTCATTAGCTGTGAAAAACATATATTGAAGGTTTGTTTTTTTTTGGGAAGATGTTTTTTTTTTTTTAATTTGTTATGTAATGTTTGACAAAACAAGTCTACACAAACATCGGGGTTTGAAGATTGAAAACATTACTTTTCAGAGTGGCACTAATTCTCATTGGAAATTACAGGGAAAAAAAACTAATACAACAGCTTTCTTTCCCTACCTCAGAGGCTTCTATTCTGCTGGTGTGGATTCTGATGATGTCAAAGTTGATCACACATTTTTTTTTTTTCCGCCCCAGCTAATCCGGCCTCTGCTGTTTGCCGTGAAGTCAATACACTAAGT